TGGGGCATTCTGGGGGTTTTCCCTGGCTGGGCCTTCCTTCTTCTCTCTATGGGCTTTGCATGGCATTTATGGTAATCGCAGGCTTGAGGTGTGGGAGGTTTCTACAGTGCTGCTGGTGTTCTTGGGGGCTCTCTGGAGTTTCTCAGTGAGTGTCTCTTTGCTGCTGTGTTTCTTTGTAATGTTGGTCTGGTGCAGCTGCATTTTCAGTCCCCACTCTTTTGGCTGCTTTGGCAACAGATGCCTTTGGACTCTGGGTCATTTGGTCTCTGTCTTGCATTTATTTCGTCTTCTGATGCTGTTTTTGGATTAGCTTTCAAAGAATGTGGGAGTGCAGGGTGGGGGGCCCCTCGGCTGGGGTCTTGGTCTCGGGTGCTTCTGTGTTGTCTGCCTTTCTGATGCTGTTTGTGCCAATCCTCCAGGAGGCGGATTTCAATATTTTATACCTCTCTTCTGGTGTGCCGACAGGGCTCTGTTGTTGGCTTCGGCGTGTGCCCTGGCTTTTCAGTTTTCTTTGGCGTTTTCTGTTGTTCCCAGAGGACTGTGTTTAGATTCTGTCAGCGGCTTCTGCTTGTTGCCGGCCTATTTTGGTCTTGTTGGTTCTCCGGGAAAGGGGGGTGGGGGAAGGTCGCTTCAGGCACTCCCGGAATGGTTGTGCCAGGGCTTGGGCCTCATTTGGTCGGGGTAGGCCTTTGGTGCCAGTTTGTGTCGGTGAGCTCCCCAATGCCTTCTTCGTCTCGTGGCAGGGTGTTCGCTCTGTGCAAGGGTCAGCATCACGGGGTTCACATCAACCTTGTCACAGGCCGCCCCATTATTGGGGCGATGGGGCAAATGCTCGCTCATTTACCAACACCTGGTCCCAGGACTTGTGGTCTTTTCAAGTCATTCTTACGACCTTTGGTGGTGTTGGGCGGCCCTTCCTCTTTTAGGGGGGTCGGATCAGGTTTTGGGGCTTGGTTCGGTTTTGTTGTGGGGCGACATGCTTACTGCTTCTGTTGTCTCCATTTTGGGTTGATCTGGCACCTTGCATTTTTGCACATTTACCTAGGGTCGTGGTGGCCCATCTTTGTCTGCTAGGTCTTCGAATCTTGGCCTACCTCGACGATTGGTTGGTATGGGCTCCCAGCCAGTTTGCTTGTCTGCTAGCCAGGGGTCTAGCTCTTTCCTAGTTCACCAGATTTGGGTTCCTGGTGCATCCCTGTTGGTCCCTTCCCAGGTTTGGACTTGGCTGGGCCTTGTGTGGGATTCCCAGACTGCGTCACTTTCTCTCCCTCCCGTGACCGGAAGGTCTGTACCAGGCGGCCTTGCTCTGGTTGCAGTTCAACCATTGGCTGTTTTTGCGGGGGCCTCGGGTCACTCGGCATTTGCTCGTGTGGCTGTGCGGGGGCCTGAACTTTGCTCTTCTGGTTTCTCCGCTGGGCTGTGTTTGGGTTCAGAGGCTATTCTGGTATCATTGGGGTAGTCTCTTTCGCCGCTCTCATGATTGCTGGGTTCGAACCTCAGTGTCCCTGAGCCGGTTGCTGCATCACTGGCTTCCTCTTGGTGTTTTCAGGGTTCAGTGCCATGGAACCCTTCTTCCTCCCTTGCTCGATGTGTTCTCGGCCGCCTCGTCTGTCGGCTGGGGATTTGTGACTAGTGCTTACCAGTCGGGCTGAGGGCGTTGGGCAGATGTCCTTCTGTCTGGTTCCCTGCATGGTGTGGGCGTTGCAGCTGTGTGACTGGCTTCGCGGCTGTGTGGCTTGCACTGCAAAGGTTTCGGCTTCCTTGGCACTCGTGATCAGACTCCATTCAGTCTGCTCCCCTGTGGTTACTATTACTATTCTTGACCAAGGTGGGTTTCTTAGGTACGTGGGTCTTTGGAGCTGGTTGCTTCGGGTGGCTCTCCTGCCAAGTTCTCAGGGTTTAGCTCTTCGCGGTGTTCACATTCAGGGTGTCTTACGTCCGGGCGGCTGGCCTGTTGTGCTTTATTCCTCTTCCATGAAGTGGATGGTGGTCGCCATCTCCTTTCTTTGCCAGACGTACGGGTGCCCAGAGGTGGACCTCTTCGAGTCGGAGTGGTCTCTGCATCTCCCATTGTTAATGGCACCATTCCCTCAACTGTGAAGTGCTCACGGTGGATGCTTTTCGACAGGAGTGGTCACAATGGGGGGTTACTGTACCTCTTTTCCCCTGGTCCTGCTGTTGCTCTGCATTCTAGCTCAGTTGAAATCATAATGGGGTTGAGTTTTCTCCTGGCTCCATGGTGGCCGGCCCAGTCTTGGTTTCCAACACTGCCTGCTCGGTGTCAGAAATTTTTCCGCCTTTTTCTTTATCATCGCCGGGTTTCATCAGTGTCAAACCGGGTTGTTTTGTTCTTTCTCTTTTGGTTTTTTCCTGGGTCTGCATCTCTTGTCGAATACTGGCACTGTCATGTGGTGTTGGTGGAGCCGTTGCAACTTGCATTGGGGTTGGATGCCCCTTCCACTACTTTCACATGCATTTTCACCTCCAGCCTGCTCTGGTGCCACCTGAGTCTTCTTTGTCTTTGGACCAGGATCTTTCCTTTCTTCTTCACCTTGGTTTGTAGTTGTCCCTTCAGTTCATGTTTTTTTTAGTGGGTCATTTTGTTAGTTTACTGCCTGCTACTTCTTTTATGGCGGGCTTCTGGGGGAGGGATCCATTGGTTGTGGATGCTTGGTTGGTTAGGCCGGGGGTGCATCACGTGTTGTGTCCGGTGGCAGCTTTATAGTGTTTCCAGTGGGTCACTGGTTCTGTGTCGGTGGCCACGCTCTGGATTGATCAGGGATTCCCTGGTTTTCAGTTCCAGGGCTCGTGTGTCTCAGATTGTCCACGGTGTCTTTAAGTCTAGCCAGTCTGTGGGCTACCCTCATGCCCATGATGTTCGGAAGTGTGCTGCTCTTTTGGCTGCTTTTGAACAGTCTCGGGCTTGTGGGTTTTGGGGGTTAGTCACTGTCCTGGTCTCCAGGTCTCTCATGACTGTCCCGGGCCCTCTACTGCTCTGTAATGCTTTTGGGCTTCTGTAGCGGCCGGCGTGTTTGTCAGATTGTGCTCTGCGGCGGGGCTGCTGCCTCCCGGGTGTTTCCCTGTTTTCCTTCTCTATGGGGTAGTTAGCTTCAGGGAGATAATGGCGCTAGTACCTTCCCTAGTACCTTTCCCACTATTATTATCACCATCACGATCAGCAACAATACCATCACTATCATCGTTATTATTACCACTACTCCCGTTATTATTGTTATTATTGAATTTGTTATGGTATGGTTTTTTCTGAATTGTGTTTTGGAAGTCAAAAACTAATTTGTAATTAGTGTCACTGATGCTGTTAGATTTTTTTTTTTTTGGTAACTGTTGTACCTGAATTGTACCTGGAAGAGGTTCTAGGAGTTCTTCTACTCCCCAAGCCAGGTCCACGGCCAGGGTTGATTTGTGAAAAGCAGCTTAACAATATCAATATTTCCATTATTCCATTTATTTGTTTTTCTACCATTGTAGCATATATTCTTAGCTCTTTTTTTTGTTTACATGTGTCAATGTACCAATGGGATAAACAAGTTTCATGAAACAATTGGTAATATGGTTAGCTTCAATACTAAAAACACGAGGTCACATAAGCTCTCAGCTTATGTGACCGCGAGTTTATAGTTCACTTGGCATTCATTGATGGATGCGACACGAGGCGTTCATTGATGGATGTGACATGAGGCGTTCATTGATGGACGCGACACGAGGCGTTCATTGATGGATGCGACACGAGGCGTTCATTGATGGATGTGACATGAGGCGTTCATTGATGGATGCGACACGAGGCGTTCATTGATGGATGCGACACGAGGCGTTCATTGATGGATGTGACATGAGGCATTCATTGATGGATGTGACATGAGGCATTCATTGATGGATGTGACATGAGGCGTTCATTGATGGATGTGACATGAGGCGTTCATTGATGGACGCGACACGAGGCGTTCATTGATGGATGTGACATGAGGCATTCATTGATGGATGTGACATGAGGCGTTCATTGATGGATGTGACATGAGGCGTTCATTGATGGATGTGACATGAGGCGTTCATTGATGGATGCGACACGAGGCGTTCATTGATGGATGTGACATGAGGCGTTCATTGATGGATGCGACACGAGGCGTTCATTGATAGATGCGACATGAGGCGTTCATTGATGGATGTGACACGAGGCGTTCATTGATGGATGTGACATGAGGCGTTCATTGATGGATGTGACATGAGGCGTTCATTGATGGATGTGACATGAGGCGTTCATTGATGGACGCAACATGAGGCGTTCATTGATGGACACAACATGAGGCGTTCATTAATGGACACGACATGAGGCGTTCATTGATGGATGTGACATGAGGCGTTCATTGATGGATGTGACATGAGGCGTTCATTGATGGACGCAACATGAGGCGTTCATTGATGGACGCAACATGAGGCGTTCATTGATGGACGCAACATGAGGCGTTCATTGATGGACACAACATGAGGCGTTCATTGATGGACACAACATGAGGCGTTCATTGATGGACACAACATGAGGCGTTCATTAATGGACGCGACATGAGGCGTTCTAACAAACATATAAACCACATGTGCTTTACCTAGAAGTTTTGTTTAGAACATTGTTTACAACACTTTGATAAAGGATGCAGGTTTCCTCCCAAAATTTGGTTTAATACTAACACTTACATAGGTATTGGGTCTTTCCTTCACCTTCACACAATATCATCTTAAATAATGTTTTGTGGTTACAATATTTAATGGTATGATCTGTTTACAGAAATTACAAACATGAATAGCAGTACCCTTGATCATACTAGTGAATTTAATGACAATTTTACTGTATTTGTCCACAAGTTACTTATAGGAATGTCAAATAGCTGCCATTACATAATATGCTACCTTAACTAAGTAGATGTATTCATATACTACAAATAAAACCCCCCCCAAAAAAACAGTGAATATGCAATAAGTATTCTTACCTGGGACTGTGTAGGTGATGAGGGTGGATCCTTATTTTTGGCCCTGCGCCGTGCTAATGTGGCTGCCATCTCATCCATCATGCTCATCATGCCACCTAATGCAGGTCTCTCACCAGATCCTCGACCAATACTACCTCCTGAGCTACTGGATCCTGTACTCTCACTATCCGGAGCACGAGTTTTGCGTAATTTGGCACCTGCAATTGCAGCGGCTAGTCCACTGTTGCCAGAAGGCTCATCTGATGAGGAGTGTGATCTGGCCAGTCCTCCTGGAGGAGGTGGTGGAGGAGGGGGGGCACTACTTAAGGGAGGTGCTGGGGGAGCGGGAGGCGGTGGAGGACCACCCGAGGGAAGGGGAGGTGGGCCACTCATTGGGGGTGCAGGAGGGGCAGGTGGGCCACCCATTGGAGGTGCAGGAGGTGCAGGCGGTCCTCCACTAGGAAGAGGAGGAGGCCCACCAGTAGGTAAAGGAGGGGGACCCCCCATAGGAAGAGGAGGGGGACCACTGGAAGTAGGTGCAGGTGGTGCTGGAGGTGCTGCAGGCGGAGGGTTTGGGGCAGAATTATTACGATGATGTCCAGAAGGTACTGGCGGTGGTGGAGGAACCATGGTCGGTTGGCCAGCCATACGTCGCTCCTGCATTACAGCTATATCTTCTCGAGTCATGGTCCTGTAATAAAAGTTCTGAGGTTAATTTGTAGGACATCAACAATGTGTCAAATTTAATCACTTTTCATGAAATTCTTCACATTTACGATATTGAGTACTGTACTACTGTACTTACATTTAACGAAGAAAGGCATGCTGCAACCATCTACTTAAAAGATTACTAAAAAGAAGATCCATTCTACAACTCAAGACTGATCAGGCTAGCCTACTGTTAAAAGCAAAATACCTTAGGCTACTTTACTGCAAAAAGAAAAGATCAAACAGAAGAAAAAGAAAAAAACGGAATACCACCACCAATGGTAGTCAGAGGCCCTTTGGAGACTGACGAGTACTGTACTCTAACAGAATCGTAGAGAGATTGGACTACGAAGGCAACGATGGATAATTGAAGGAGCAAGAGAATTCAGTATTCACATCTACTTATGCTCTTTTGAATTAATATTTCCAAAGTCCTTATTTATTAGAGTATAAATTTTCTCTTACTTTGTACTAATGTTTACAAGCATATGAAAAGAAAGACCTGCAACCAACTTAATGCATGCAGGGGTAAGAGGCTGGCAAGCCCTATCTCCTTCCGTTAGTGAGAACAGCTGTGAGTCAGCATCAACGCAGCATCAGTATACAGGTAATGGTAGTAGTGGTCCCTCGCCCGTGCACCAAGAGAGAGCATCAACACCCCGGGCAGGACGTGTGACGAGCCCGGTCTTTACTTTACCGCGTGTCATGGTAATGGTGATAGTTGTCGTAGGTCCTGTCGTAGGTTTTCTCGTAGTGGTTGTTGTAGGCATGGGGATCGGCATACCTGTACCCCATGTCCTCCTCGGCGTAGAGTTGATTGTGGTACTGTGGCTGTGAAGGCTGCTGTGGTTGGGTCATCATGGGAGGTGGCTGCTGCTGCTGCTGCTGCTGCTGCTGTGGTGGTGGCTGCTGTTGTTGCTGCTGCTGCTGCTGTTGTGGCTGCTGTGTCTGCTGCTGCTGCGGCTGCTGCTGTGTAGGCACTGCAGGTGGGGGAGGTGGAGGACCTTGTCGTAAACTTCCCCCATTATTGAGCACCTGAAACAATGAAAATATTCCATATATAAATGTCTGTATAAAATTTAAAAATCACCAAAAGATGCAACATCTGCCAGTCATTGAGCTCAGTCACAAGACCTCGCATTCACAGAGCATACTATAATATAACAATGCGACTGCAGTATGACGGAAGTCAGCAACAACATGAACAAGCAAATTTCATGAGATTGGCCAGGTAAGACATTATCTTGAAAACAATATTGCCATCAACCAATGGACTACCAAAACTAAGTGTCCAACTTTCAAACCAAGCCGGTCAACTAACATAGACAACCAAGCCCCAGACCATCTCCCTCACACAATTCATCGACATTCTACATATAAAAGGCATAATCAATAAAATAAAATAAACCTTTATTTCCTTCCTCACAGCCATTTTGTCGTATATCTCCCAAACTACCTATAAGCCCAATTAAATAAAAATAGTGTAATACTTTACTGGCACCAGGTAAAAAAAAAAAATACCCTTAAATTGCGCAACACTTCATATGACGTGTTGAGTAACTGACACAAAAGTGCACACCCCTTCATATGACGATTTGGAGTACCGCGCAAAATTTAAATAGCCCGTGGTTACACAGGGTTCACATCAGCTTCCTCAGGGCTCTTGTAAACAGACGGCCTTTTTTTAAATCACTGTGCTGCACAATCGAGAAAATTCAGTCGGTTGGAAACTGCGCCAACCAAGAAAACACCTTTTGAATATTTCATACCCATTCAAAATGCGTGCGCGGTAGGTTGTGTACGAAATGGACTCTTGGGATCTCCAGTGAGAAGAAGTCATCTTGGAAAAAAATTCCCAAAATGCCCTAGGGCTGCTGGCTGGGTTAGTACCGAGTGAGCGACCATGGGTGGCGCACGTACCTTTGGCTCCCAAACACTTGTCCAACGCGATGTTGAAAGAGCGCTCTCTGTTGGTGAAATTCAGACCTTATTGTTTGAAAAACATAAGGGTCATGATATTGATCAAGCTAGGCGCAATAAGGACCTAACACAAAGGTCGGATGCAAGTGATACAGCACCGATGAGTACGATACAGCGAGCGTATCCAGTTGTAGCTCTGAGCGCTTCCCTTGCCCCACCCATGTAATCTCCAACTTTTATAGATGATACATAGATGAATCGTTTTCTGGGTTCAATGATGATGCATCTGATACAAGTAACATAGATGAACAGTGTTAGTGGCTTCCATGGTGGTGTTTTCCATAGATATTCTCAAGAATAGCTGAATCTCTTCCAGAGTGGCTGAATCTCTTCCTGAGTGACTGAATCTCTTCCAGAATGACTGACTCTCTTCCAGTGAGTGCCCTTACAAAGCGATCCTTTCAAGACTTCCTTACAAATTGAGCTTTTCCTATAATCTTTTCAAGACTACCTAATGCTTCACAAGCTTGGCTACATACCACCTACAAGTACTAAAGCCAAGGGTGTGTGTGAGTGCATTATTTGCATGTGTAATTACCTAAGTGTAATTACCTAAGTGTAGTTACAGGATGAGAGCTACGCTCGTGGTGTCCCGTCTTCCCAGCACTCTTTGTCATATAACGCTTTGAAACTACTGACGGTCTTGGCCTCCACCACCTTCTCACTTAACTTGTTCCAACCGTCTACCACTCTATTTGCGAAGGTGAATTTTCTTATATTTCTTCGGCATCTGTGTTTAGCTAGTTTAAATCTATGACCTCTTGTTCTTGAAGTGCCAGGTCTCAGGAAATCTTCCCTGTCGATTTTATCAATTCCTGTTACTATTTTGTATGTAGTGATCATATCACCTCTTTTTCTTCTGTCTTCTAGTTTTGGCATGTTTAATGCTTCTAACCTCTCCTCGTAGCTCTTGCCCTTCAGTTCTGGGAGCCACTTAGTAGCATGTCTTTGCACCTTTTCCAGTTTGTTGATGTGCTTCTTAAGATATGGGCACCACACAACAGCTGCATATTCTAGCTTTGGCCTAACAAAAGTCATGAACAATTTCTTTAGTATATCGCCATCCATGTATTTAAATGCAATTCTGAAGTTAGAAAGCATAGCATAGGCTCCTTGCACAATATTCTTTATGTGGTCCTCAGGTGATAGTTTTCTATCTAGAACCACCCCTAGATCTCTTTCTTTATCAGAATTCTTTAAAGATTTCTCACATAATATATAGGTTGTCCCATGGGGTCTATGTTCTCCTATTCCACATTCCATAACATGACATTTATTAACATTAAATTCCATTTGCCAGCTGTGGTGCTCTATATACTTATTTTGTCCAGGTCTTCTTGAAGGGCATGACAATCATCTAAACCCCTTCTTATTTATCAGAATTCTTTAAAGATTTCTCACATAATATATAGGTTGTGTGGGGTCTCCTATTCCACATTCCATAACATGACATTTATTAACATTAAATTCCATTTGCCAAGTGGTGCTCCATATACTTATTTTGTCCAGGTCTTCTTGAAGGGCATGACAATCATCTAAATTTCTTATCCTTCCTATTATCTTAGCATCATCAGCAAACATGTTCATATTTCTGTATACCAACTGGTAGAATTTAGAAAGAACACACACACACAACTGGTGTGTGTGTGTGTATTATTCTAAGTGTAATTACCTAAGTGTAGTTACAGGATGAGAGCTACGCTCGTGGTGTCCCGTCTTCCCAGCACTCTTTGTCATATAACGCTTTGAAACTACTGACGGTCTTGGCCTCCACCACCTTCTCACTTAACTTGTTCCAACCGTCTACCACTCTATTTGCGAAGGTGAATTTTCTTATATTTCTTCGGCATCTGTGTTTAGCTAGTTTAAATCTATGACCTCTTGTTCTTGAAGTTCCAGGTCTCAGGAAGTCTTCCCTGTCGATTTTATCAATTCCTGTTACTATTTTGTATGTAGTGATCATATCACCTCTTTTTCTTCTGTCTTCTAGTTTTGGCATATTTAATGCTTCTAACCTCTCCTCGTAGCTCTTGCCCTTCAGTTCTGGGAGCCACTTAGTAGCATGTCTTTGCACCTTTTCCAGTTTGTTGATGTGCTTCTTAAGATATGGGCACCACACAACAGCTGCATATTCTAGCTTTGGCCTAACAAAAGTCATGAACAATTTCTTTAGTATATCGCCATCCATGTATTTAAATGCAATTCTGAAGTTAGAAAGCATAGCATAGGCTCCTTGCACAATATTCTTTATGTGGTCCTCAGGTGATAGTTTTCTATCTAGAACCACTCCTAGATCTCTTTCTTTATCAGAATTCTTTAAAGATTTCTCACATAATATATAGGTTGTGTGGGGTCTATGTTCTCCTATTCCACATTCCATAACATGACATTTATTAACATTAAATTCCATTTGCCAAGTGGTGCTCCATATACTTATTTTGTCCAGGTCTTTTTGAAGGGCATGACAGTCATCTAAATTTCTTATCCTTCCTATTATCTTAGCATCATCAGCAAACATGTTCATATAATTCTGTATACCAACTGGTAGATCATTTATGTACACAATAAACATCACTGGTGCAAGAACTGAACCCTGTGGTACTCCACTTGTGACATTTCTCCATTCTGATACATTGCCTCTGATTACTGCCCTCATTTTTCTATCAGTCAGAAAATTTTTCATCCATGATAGAAGCTTACCTGTCACCCCTCCAATATTTTCCAGTTTCCAGAACAACCTCTTATGTGGAACTCTGTCGAAAGCCTTTTTTAGGTCCAGATAGATGCAGTCAACCCAACCATCTCTTTCCTGTAATATCTCTGTGGCTCGATCATAGAAACTGAGTAAATTCGATACACAGGATCTTCCAGATCGAAAACCATACTGTCTGTCTGATATTATATCATTTCTCTCTAGGTGTTCTACCCATTTAGTTTTGATTAGTTTTTCCAATACTTTCACTATTACACTTGTCAATGATACAGGTCTATAATTGAGGGGGTCTTCCCTGCTGCCACTTTTGTAGATTGGAACTATGTTAGCCTGTTTCCACCCGTCTGCTACGATTCCTGTACACAGGGATGCCTGAAAGATCAGGTGAAGTGGAATGCTGAGCTCAGATGCACATTCTCTCAGAACCCATGGTGAAACGCCATCTGGGCCAGCTGCTTTGTTCTTACCGAGCTCCTTGAGCATTTTTTCCACTTCGTCTCTAGACACCTCTATGTGTTCTATGTTGTTCTCTGGAATTCTTATTGTATCTGGTTCCCTAAAGATTTCATTTTGTACAAACACACTTTGGAACTTTTCGTTTAGTGTTTCACACATTTCCTTTTCATCTTCCGTGAATCTATTTCCCATTTTCAACCTCTGAATATTATCCTTTACCTGCAATTTGTTGTTTATGAATTTATAGAATAGACCTGGTTCTGTTTTACATTTGTCCGCAATCCCTTTTTCAAAATTTCTTTCTGCCTCTCTCCTCACTGCCGTGTAGTTGTTTCTCGCATCTTTGTATCGCTGGTATGTTTGGGGGTTCGGCCTCTTCCTGTATTGATTCCATTTTTGTGTCTTTCGGTCTCTAGCCCTCTCGCAATTTCTATTGAACCAATCCTGTTTCCTAGTTCTGCATCTCTGTTTTGGTATAAATTTTTTTGTGCCTTTATCATATATTTCACAAAACTTGCCATACATCTCATTCACTTCCTTGCCTAGCATCAAGTCTGTCCAATTATACTCACTAAAAAAATTTCTAAGGTCACCATAATGTCCTCTCCTGAAGTCTGGTTTTTCAACTGCTTCAACCTCCTTATTTTCTTCCAGCTTATAACGCATTGCATACTTTATTCCCAAAAAGACATGGTCACTTTTACCCAAGGGAGGAAGGTACTGAATGTCAAATATCTCTTCCTCCTTCCTGGTAAATATCAAATCTAGCATGGAGGGAACGTCCCCTTCCCTCATCCTCGTAGCTTGTTTAACATGTTGATACAAGAATGTTTCCAGGATGAGGTCTACAAATTTACAGGTCCAAAAATCTTCTGTTTTAGCTTCA